CTCTTGTCTTTCTAATTTGTCTAATTCAAATTTCCGTTCACGCTCTCGTTCTTCTCTCTCTCTTTTTCTCTTCTCTTTCAAATCGCATTTTCTACTATTAATCGAAACTGATATTCTGTCATTTTGTAAGAGCCTAATTCTGATTTAACCGTATATTCTGGAAGATCGTATTTTTCAAAAATATTTTCATCTACTAGTTTGTTTGCAACCTTAATTCTAATGTCTTGCTTTTTCTGAGAGGATTTAACATCTAACCCAAAATGCAAACCTAATGCGATCAAGTCATCCTTTTTTAACGTATCAAAAACCTGAACACTTGGCGAACTAAGAAAGTTTGTGACCGAAAATACCATGTTGATTTTTGCTGGCTTATAGTCAAATTTAACAATTTAATTAACAAAATTCTGACAATGAACTGCAAAAGTGCAAGGAATTCTTTATCCTGGACGAGCCCCCAATTCTGTTATGGGTCAGAATAACCCTAAATGCCAGCAAAGATCAATCACACAGTTTAAACTTAACAATAATTTATTTACAGTAATATACAAATCATTAAGTACAAACTTAGCAAGAATCTAAAGAATACATACATCAGAGTGTCCGTTGCTGCACACAATGTCCCAGTGAAATTATATACCCAGTAATACCTCAGTGATGCTTGTACTACAATATATGCATCGAGTTGACAGGGTATTTATACAGTATCATAAATCTAGAATATTCTAGAAATTGTAAGTACATGATATTACTGGAAAGTTCTGGACATACACAAAGTTCAGGAATGTTTCTTAGTAACAATGACCGAACATGTTGACCACTCTGGAATGTTCAAGAAACTTAATGTTACTAATAATAGACATGATGAAACAATACAAATACAACACATCTCACAACACAATATTGAAATTTATAGATGACCTCTAAACTGCAAGTATAATTGCCAAAGTCATGTGACGTCGCATTACATGACAAGTCTAAATAAAAATTTAAATGTCCCAACATGTAGATGTAAACCTCATTACATTTTTTTATATCACTGAACTCCTAAAAAGAATCGCCCATCCTTATAAAGTATGTATTTTTTATCTTAAAAAATCGCCGATATTTCCATTTGTAACCTTAACTGTGCTGCGTACTTCTTCATATGTAGGATAGATTTTGTTCTCGAGTTCCTGTAAGTCACTTTCTGAATCTTTTGTTTGAGAACTTTGCTTTTGTAGAATATCTGTCACAATATGGTCATGATGTTTTCCAGAGGAAATACAAGTAGAACAGACGGGAATGTCTACATTTTCTCACCGTAAATTTCACGATGTTTCTGGGTGTGGTTTGGACATTTTGGGTAGTTAATATTAGGAGTAGAAGTTCTGGGCTTGTATGGTACAACGTTATGTCTTTTAGATAAATCAGAGAGATACTACCCTACACAGGCCTTACACAGAATAATCTGACAAAGTTCACAATGACTCTGTAATTCAGCGGTTTGACACAGGTCAAAGACGGGAATGTCTTGGGCACTGTAATCGGGGTCCATTGCTGGGGTTTGGGTCAAACATTTATTGGACTCTGTAATTAAAAATAACAGAAAACTTCAATCATACATTTAAATAATTTAAATGTTTTAGTTTTGTTTGTCAAATTTCCAGATGGTTTCTCAATTTGGAAATGATAGTAGAAAAATACTATCAGTATTAAAAGTCAAACAAATGATTTGTGCACCTTGTTTATTTACTAGGAAGATTATTTTCATGCTTACAATTTTGTATTATTCATATCAAAAAGTATAATATGATAAAAGGAATAAAGAAAATAAAAATATTTTATCCCATCTACTGCGCGCATTTCATTGGTAAATAATTTCCGTTTACGTTTTCTTTGCATATATAGATTTTTTTAACGGTAAACTGATATCTTAAGACTCATAAATATGAATGGAAGTTATACAAATATATCTAAAACTTTTCAATTTGCAAAAATGTTGATTCAATTAGCAAATATCTTCATCTGAATTTTATACCGTCAATATACAGGTCACGGTAGCCTAGTGGTAGGGCGTTTGCTTCGTGATCGTGAGGCCCGGGTTCGTTTCTCGTTTTCGGCGCCGCGTCATACCTAAGATGTAAACAAAGGTAGTGACTGTTCCCTCGCCAAGCACTGGGAACTAGAAGAAAAGTCATGGGTCTTTTGGATATGACCTTAAAATGTAGGTCCCATGTCACGGTAGGCGCTGGCATGATAAAGAACCTCACTGCTCAATGGCCCTGAGTGCCCAGTATAGGTCAAAATTTGAAGCCCTTCACCTGCATATGGTGACGTCTCCATATGAGTGAAAAATTCTCAAGAGGAGTTAAACAATATTTACAATCAATCAATCATATACCGTCAATACATATCACCTGTCTGTAAAATTTTGGAAAAGTCTAACACGTAAATCAGGAACATAACGGACAAATTTTTCAATAAAAAAGTAATCCAATTAGAATTAATTATTTTATAGAAATATTAAATGATTTATATTGATAATGTTCACATTAAATTGTTTGTTAATATTATCGATTATTATATTCAAAGAAGTCGGTTCACTTTATGCTTAAAATGGCCCCTGTAGAATACCAATTTATTGATCAATATTTTGATTTTATATTTGAATATAAATTGAAATAGAGACTTGGTGCTTTCATATCCTTCTAAAAAATTTCTTCTAAAAGTCCAGGTCTAGGAGAACTGGCTTTATGAAATTGCAATGTTCTTGAATTTTTAGGAAAACAGGCATAATTGAGTACTTTCAGTGAAGAAAAATAATATGAGCGCACTCTCTGATCTAAAAAGTAAAATTTGTCCAAATCCTCAGAAACAGTTCTATCATTTACTACTTGCATATCCTAGATCAGAGGTTGCGATGTATATTAAATATCGAAAAATAGCTTTAAAAATTGGCCGTTTTTGTAGACTTTTCCAGAATATGGGGAAATTGACGCACTTCGTGAGGTCATAATGCATTGACTAGCCAGAATATTTTTTCATAGATAAGCAATCACCAAAGATCTTAGTGATATTTAATGCATTGTGAACTAAAACAATGCTGTTTCAGTTTTTCGAAATTCTCACAGGGCCAAATGAGGCAAAAGTGAACCTTGTTCTTTGTATATTTTGCACATCCATTTCATAGTCAAGTGCATTTAACAGTTTAGTTAGATAGTGATGCTTTCTTTTATCTTTGCAGGTATGTTAAGGAAGTAGATGACTATACAATCATATACATCACCTTAAAAATATTTTATTTTTCTTTGACATGTGCAGGTGAACAAAACATATTGTAATGCTGGATCTATGACATGTAGAGGGCTAGGAAGTATTCAATGGAAAATGGTAAAATCTGAAGACAAAAGAACAAAAAAAAAATATCATAGATACATGCATTTACAATCATAAACAGCAGATACAAGTCATGCTATAATATCCAGGAACTTGAAGAGTAAACGTCGGAAAAGCAATTAGAATGCGTCTAGATTTAATCGGCCAATCAAAATCATACTCGTTATGTTATGCTACGAAATATATATTACAACCTATAAATAAGAAAATAAAACGTCCAGAAAGGATGAAATGTAGTGAAAAAATAATTTAAATGAATTTGTCTTGTGCATATACATGTTTGCTATCTTAGAAAAACAAGAGAAATCTTCCTTGCCTTCAGCGATGTGATAAAACGAAACTCTTTAATTTACATCAAAGTTAAGTAAACTTAAAAATATCTTTTTAAATATTAAACAGACGACCTCATGACAACATGTGTTTTATCATCTTTCATATTCCTTTCAGATTCCTTCATATTACTATTTTTCCTTACAAATTAATTCTCTCTATTCTTGTCCTATGTATTTTATTTTCTTCACTTTACTACTTTGCCACTCAGCCACAAAGAGGTTTTCTCTGGCATCTACACATAAACCCAATGAATACTAGATCACAATTTTTAATGAAACGAAGGAACTATTTGAGTCTTGATTCAGGATATGAATATTGTCGTTGAAACTGTCTGCAATCAGAATATTATTCTGGCTGTCTGTGATGATTCCACGTGAATATAAATATTTCCTGGTATTGGAGGCTTGGTTACAAGCAGTGTATCTAAATCGGAGTTTTCCAACTTTATTAACAACCACAACTGCGTAGGCACCAGAGTCAGCCACACAGATATCCAGGTTTTTATTTACAGTGATGTACTTGGGGGTACCTGATAAAAACAAAGGCTCATTTTTATCATCAAGCTGAATGGTTTGTTTCTCCGTGAAGTCAGAATAACGGACGACTTTTGATTGTTTATCTTCACTGTCCATGATAACTATTACGTCACCGGTGCAAGAAGTACAGACAGAGCAAGGTATCCAGTTCTGCAATCGAATTTCTTCCAGAATCTGATGACTCCTTACTTTGAAAATGGATTTTGTTTTAAAGTCAGTATAAATGAGATTCCCACTCCTTGACACTGCTATGTTACACGGATCGTTTCCAGACTTGGTTTGGATTGACTTCAGTAGTTTGCCCTGGAGGTTGTAGAGTTTCATGATTTTGTCTTTCCCACTGGTCCAGATTTCTTCATCATTAAGACAGATTACATTAAACAATTCCTTATACCCAGTATCTATGGTGATGATGAGTTCTTGTTTATCCAGAAGTTGTTTGACAGACGGACAAACTTCAGCTTCTTGAGTAGCATCAATTGTACAGCAATGTTCACCTTTTGTAATGGATAATTCTGACAGAGAACCAAACATTTGATGGAGCTGTTCTGTGTTGATCTGATGAAGAGAAAGACTTGGTAATGAAACATTGACTTTAGGAGGTAATCTTCTAAATTCATCATTCCTAGATTCGTATGTGGATATCATGGGAATATCATTTGAATTAGTATTTTTTTCAGTTCCATTATGCACTGCTTAACATCTGAAGTGATCTGTTTTATTTTGTTTTCCTGTTCATTTAGAACAGTCATGTGTTTAGTTTTTCATTTCATCAATTTCAGATTTCCGTTTGTTGACAATGATGTTAATTTTTCTATGCCAGTCTTCTTCTTGTTTGATGACAGTTGAGTGCAGTTCCTTATAATGTTTTTCTAAGGTTTCCTTTTCATTGTTGAGATCTAATTTAATTCTTTCATATGCAGGGTAAATTGTTTTCTCTAGTTCCGCTAACCTTTTCTTTAAATCCGTTGTTTTTGAGATTAGTTTATCTAATGCATCTGTCAAATCATGACCTTTATGTTCACCAGAGGAGAGACAGATGGAACAGACATTAAAATCACATTTCTCACAATAAACTTCACAGTTTTTATGGCTATGTTTTTGACATGGCAAGTTGGTTGCAACATTTCTGTGTTTGTACGGCACAACATTGTGTCTTTTGGATGAATCAGAGAGATGCTCCCCTACACAGGCCTTACAAAGGTTAAGCTGACAAAGTTCACAATGACTCTGTGTGGAATCTTCTTTACAAATGTCACAGTCAAGGAGTACTTGAGCTCTGTCGAGGAGATCCATACGGGGGTACTGTCACATGATAATATGAGTAATAGAATAGAATAGAATTGAATTTAATACAGATTGAAATAACAGTTTGCGTGGAATTTCAAATGAAATATAAAAAAGGGATAAAACTGGGGATAATGGTAATAAGAAGAAAAAAAGTTGTCTTAGTTTTCATTGATTTTTTTTTGTTACATCAAATATACTTATTCGATTTAATACAAATAATTCAATCAAATTAGAAAATTTGATGTAAAAAAAATCAATAAAAAATAAGACAACTTTTTGGATTCTAATTCCAATTTTT